CATTAAATGGAAACCTGCCCCCTACAACTTACATCCGTTTGGCTCTTGTTCTTTCTTCTTGGAACACACAGAACACATGGTTCTGCGTACTAGTCATTCAAATAATTGTAGCTGGATCTCATTTCTCTCCAGATCTTCTCTTTCCCAGTTAGAGTATCCCAATTCTTTCAACTGTTCCTTAATGACATGGTTTCAAGACTTTTCACCATCTTGATCGCTCAAGAAGTTAATTCCAAATGCATCACATATCCTTCCTGTATTAGGGTGTCTCTGTGCCTTCTCTGAGGTCAACTCTAACTACAAGGGAGCTCTCTGTCTTGTCTGTTTCTTGTCTGACACACACCGACTAAGTCGAACTCCGACACCAACTGCAAATGCAGAACTTCTTCCTCTGATCCCAGCTACCAGAGAAGGTCAGATCTCGTAAGTTAAATGGCACAGTCCTCCAGATTCCAAGTCAGCCCAAGATGTCATATGCCACCCACAAGCTTGGGGGTCCCCATGACACCCTCACTTCTGACCTGTGTTGCTGCTGTTAGGTGCCGTCGAGTTGGCTCTGACTCTTAGTGACCCTATGTACAACAGAATGAAACACTTCCCGGTCTGCACCATCCTCACAATCATTGCTATGTGTGAGCCCATTGTTGCAGCCACTGTGTCAGTCCATCTCACTGAGGGTTTTCTTCTTTTTTGCTGACTCTCTGTTTTACCAAGCATGATGTCCTTCTCCAGGGTCTGGTCCCTCCTGATAACATGTCCAAAGTACATGTGACAAAGTCTCACCATCCACAGTTCTAAGGAGCATTCTGGCTGCACTTCTTCCAAGGCAGATTTGTTTGTTCTTCTGGAAGTCCATGGTATATTCAATATTATTCACCAACACCGTAATTCAAAGGTGTCAATTCTTCTTTGGTCTTCCCTATCCATAGGCCAGCTTTTGCATGCATATGAGGCCCAAGCACACCATGGCTTGGGTCATGTGCACCTTAGTCCTCAAAGTGACATCTTTGCTTTTTAACACTTTAAAGAGGTCTTTTGCAGTAGATTTGCCCAATGCAGTATGTTGACATCTAACCTGCTGGCTACAAATTCAAGGGTTTCCTCTACCCCTTCAGGATGCCAGCCGTAAGCCTGGGTTCCTCAGGGCCCCCATCACTTCTGACCTGCTGGTTCTCACTACTCCGTTAGGTTTGATAATTTGGTAGAACAACTCACAAAACTCAGGAATATGCTATACTTATGACTACAGTTTTATTATAGCATAAAGGATACAAATGAAGATATGCATAGGACAAGGTCTTGGAAGGTTTCCAACATGAAGCTTCCACAACCCAAAAACAGGGCATGTCACCCTCCCAACTGCTGATGTCTTTCACCAACCAGGAAGCTCACCAAACTTCCGTGTCCAGAATTTTTACTGGGGTCCTAATAGGTAGGCATGATTGATTAAATCATTGCCCACATGGTTGAACTCAACCTCCAGTCCCCCTCCCCTGAGGTCAGGCTAATAACACATGGTAGTTATCTGGCCTGGCCAGCCCCCACCCAAGTGTCAACTCACTAGCCTAACTTGTCAGGTAGATGTGGTCTGAAGCCCCTGCATGAATAATAAAGACTCTGATCACTGAGAAAATTCCAAGAGTCTAGAGATTATTGTCCAGGAACTAGGAATAAAGACCAAATTCTTTGAATACACACTACATCTCCCAATTTTGTGTCTTTCTGTAGGATCTGGAAGCTTTCTAGAAGAAAGGGACTATCACTTTGCTTACTAGAAACACTGTTCTTCCTTTAAGGCAGCCCAAGATCACATTAAGGAACCTGGGTAGCACAAACGGTTTGTGCTTGACTACTAACCTGGAGGTTAGCAGTACAAAACCACCCAGAGGTGCTGCAGAAGGAAGGCCTGGCGATCTGCTTCTGTAAAGATTACAGCTAAAAAAACCCTATGGAGCAGTTCTACTCTGTAACGCATGAGTCAGTTTGTTTCTCCCCATCAACAGTAGGATTTATTAATAAATGGTGGTATATGGAAACAATGGAATAGCACATAGTGATGACAACAAGAGAACAACGCTAACCGCCACAACATGGACAACTCTCACAAATACGTTGTTGTTAGGTGCCTTCGAGTCGGTTCTGAACCGACTCACAGCAACCCTATGTACCACAGAACAAAACACTGCCCGGTCCTGTGCCATCCTTGTAATTGTTGCTGTGTTTGAGCCCGTTGTCACAACCACTATGTCAATCCATCTCATTGAGGTCTTCCTCTTTTTCGCTGACCCTCTACTTCAAGAAGCATGATGTTCTTCTCCAGGGGTTGATCCCTCCTGATAACATGTCCAAAGTATGTGAGATGAAGTCTCGCCAGCCTTGCTTCTAAGGAGCATTCTGGCTGTACTTCTTCCAAGACGGATTTGTTCATTCTTCTGGCAGTCAGTGGTATATTCAATATTCTTTGCCAACACTGTAATTCAAAGGCATCAGTTCTTCTCTGGTCTTCCTTATTCATTGTCCAGCTTTCACATACATATGAGGCAAATGAAAATACCATGACTTGGGTCAGGCACACCTTAGTCCTCAAAGTGACATCTTTGCTTTTTAACACTTTAAAGGGATCTTTTGCAGCAGATTTGCCCAATGCAATACATCGTTTGATTTTTCTTTCTTTTTTTTTCAGTCCTTTTATATAATTCTTATTAGTTTTATTTACTTTTTTATTGTGCTTTAGGTGAAAGTTTACAGCTCAAGTTAATTTCTCATATAAAAATTTATATACATATTGTTATGTGACATTAGTTGCAATCCCTACAATCTGACAGCACACTCCCCCTTTCCACCCCGGGTTTCTTGTGTTCATTCAACTAGTTCCTGTCCCTTCCTGCCTTCTCATCCTGCCTCCAGACAGGAGCTGCCCATTTGGTCTCATGTATCTAATTGAACTAAGAAGCACACGCCTCACGAGTATTATTTTTTGTTTTATAGTCTAGTCTAATCTTTGTCTGAAGAGTAGGCTTCAGCATCAATCAGTTTTTAAGATCATATTATCTTCCTTTTTTGGGGGGTGGGGTGGGCGGAGCGGTGCTGGCCCTAGGCTTATCATATACTGATTCATCACAATCAGTTGTAACCAGCTAGAATCACTAGATATTATTCATGTGTTCTTTACCATGTCCCGTCTTATACAACAGAATGACCTAGGTTTGGGAGTCTATTTGAGGATTCTTTTAAATCTCATTTCATGAGATTCAGCACATTAGTCTAGTCTTTGGCTAATTCAATTAACCAACTCATTAGGTAGACTGCCCAGGTTTGAGTCAACCCAGAAGGAGTTGAAAGAAAACAAAAGTCATAGTACACAGTGATGCAGAGGTATGTGTTACCAGAAGACGGGCTAGAAGCCACACACTGCTCCCCAAGGTGATCCTGATTAATTCACCAGAGTCCAAGGTCTGTTCCTGACCCTCACATGTTCAAACACTCAATCTCAGCAGTGTGCCAGAAATGGCATCGTTAAGACTCACAAGAGACTAATGTATACAAACAGACTCAGTTTTTTAATTTGCAACGTGAAATGTAACTGCTGAGAGAATAATAGTTCATGTTTATTGAATGTTTATCATATGTCAAGAACAGTTCCAGGTATTCTACAAAAATTATCTCGTATGTTTCTCAAAACAACCTTATAAGGTAGGTACTATTATTATGATTATCATTTTACACATAAGAAATTACTTTTTGCATCCTTCCCCCTCACCGAACTCACGTCATTGGTTTCCAAGTCCTGTTACCAAGTGTCCTGTTATTAAGGCTTTCAAATTCATCCCCTCCCTTCTATTCCCACTGTCACTTCCCTATTCTGGTCCTCATGTCTTATAGTTATTAGGACAGAGAGAGAAGGGAGAGAGACTATCTGAACCTCACCTCTCATCACTCTCTCCCCTCCCCTCCTTTCCCTAGCCCCTTTTTCTCCTCAAAAATTCTATGCAGTAGTCACCCTGTATAACTCACGATTCCTTAGATACACTGAATACGTACATGCTGATATTTCTTTCCCTATTTGTTCAACAAATATTTATTAAGCAGAGCCCTGGTGGTCCAGTGGTTAAGTAATATGGCTGCTAACCAAAAGGTCGGCAGTTCAAATCCACCAGCCGCTCCCTGGAAACCCTATTGGGCAGGTCTACTCTGTCCTCTAGGGTCGCTATGGGTCGGAATCCACTCGAGAGCAATGGGGAGGGGGTGTAGGGGTAGGGGAGTAAGTTTATGTGCCATACAAGGAGCCCTGGTGGCGCAGTGGTTAAGTGCAAGGCTGCTAACCCAAAAGGTCCGCGGTTTGAACTCACTGGCTGCTCTGCGGGAGAAAAATGTGGCAGTCTGTTTCCCTAAAGATCACAGCCTTGGAAATCCTATGCGGCAGTTCTACTCTGTCCTATAGGGTTGCTATGAGTGGGACGGACTAGACGGCAAAGGATTTGGGTTTTTTGGTTGGTGTGTGCCATACATGTGTGTTACCTGCATTCTCCTATTTAATTGCAACAGGAACCCCATGAGGTAAGCATTACCATCTTCCTTTTAGAGATGAGGAAACAGGTGCCGAGTGGTCAGCCTGACACGTGCCCCACAGCTAAGTGTGGGGTCGGTGGCCTGCTTGACTCCAGAGCCCAGGCGCACTCTCCCAGCAGACTCCCCGCCCCTGGCTTCGCTCAGTCTAACGCGTCTCTTCCTGTGTCTGGCTATCTCCTGCCCTGGCCAGATGGTGACCTCCTGGCAGGAACTGCGTCCACTGTGTATCCACACAACGTCTAGCTCCGTGCCTGCCAATGCGCCTCACTCCAAATGTTTGTTTAACTGAAATGTAGAGCGAACGCAGGAATATGTTTTAGCAAACAACCCTGAAGAACTGAGGTTCTGCGTGAGAAAAGTTCAAGAGGGGCTCGCTACTCTAGGACTCAGTAATAGATTTTGAGGGAGGGGCTGCTGGGGTCGAAACTTACCGAAGCCACTAACCGCAGCGGCGCGTTCCTACTCAAAGCTCCTGCCCAAGGCCTGTGTTTACTGTGGTTACCACCGCAACGCCACAGCGGGGGGAACCGGGGAGGGCCGTGACGCGCATGCGCCGTCCGGTTGTCGGCGAACTCCCGCAGAAAGAGGGCGCGTGACTTCCTTTGCAATCCAGCGGCGGTAAGCCTGGGAGGCGGGTCTGCGTCGCCGCTGGCCGGGCCTTCAGCGACCCAATACCCACGTTCGGAGCGCTGGTGGTGCAGTGGTTAAGCGTTTCTCTGCTAATCAGAAGGTCTTCCACCTGCCGCTCCTTGGAAACCCTATGGGGCAGTTCTACTCCGTCCTATAAGGTCGCTATGAGTCAGAATCGACGCAAAGGCAGCGGATTTGGTTTTGGGGTTGATCCACGTTCAAAGCCATACAGGAAAATCCAGCATTCTACCATATCATTATTAAAGGATGTTAATATATGGCTCTTGAGTACTTTCAAAGACACCTACACTGTAATACAAAATGGCGCTGTGTTGAGGCGTTAACTTTGATTTTTAAAAGTGTGCAAGGCAGCGGTAGGCAACTTGTCAGCAACTTCAATAGCAAAGATGCATCTCGGTTTGTTTTGTTTTGAGTTAAGGAGATTTTATGTAGTGGGCTTTTTGGTCTCAGGACAGTGGGAGCACACACAAGTACAGGGATAGTTTGGCAAACTTCTAGGCGTAGAGGTTTGTTCTTCAACTGCTCTGTGGCACAGTGCTCATACTGATTTAAGTATCGTAATGTTGGTTACAAAACATGGTTTGAAGATGACTGCAACATCACAATATTATCTGGACTTTGCATCCAGAATATATAAATTACTCTTACAATTCAATAAGACTAACAGCCCAATTTTTTAAATGGGCAAAAGATTTGAACACTTCAGAGAAGATATATGGCCAATAAACATCATCAGTCATCAGGGAAACGCACATCACAATGGCTATCACTGCACATCCACTGGAAGGGATAAAAAGACTGGCAACACCACGTGGAGAAAATGGAACTCTCATACAGTCCTGGAAATGTAAAATGGCACAACCACTTTGGAAAACTGGCATTTTCTTAAAAGTTAAACACACACCAAGCCATGCCACCCAAAGTATTTACCCAAGAGAAAAATATGTTTTCACAAAATTTTGTTTATAGCAACTTTATTTACAATAGCCAAAACCTGGAAATAACCCAGATGTCTACTGACAGCTGAATGGATAAACATCCATAAAACGGAATACTACTTAGCAGTAAAAATGGAGAAATTGATACAGACAACATGGATGAATCTCAGAATAATTATGGTGAGGGAAAGAAGCCAGATACAAAATAGTACATAGTGTATGATTCCATTTATATAGAATACAAAGAATCTAGTGACAAAAAGCAGATAAATGGTAGCCTAGGGTTGGGGGCAAAGAGACGGATACACTGCAAAGCTGTACAAGGAATCTTGGGGATGATGGAAGTTTTCTGTTGGTTATGGTGATAGTTCCAAGGGTATATACAACTGGCAAAAGTGAACTGTTCCCTTTAAGTGGATGTAGTTTATTATACATAAATTATTTCTCAATAAAGTTGATAAAAAAAATGGTTACAACATTGTGTTTATTGGTTTCCATAACCTTATAAAATAATGTTGCAAAAACTTTATACTATGCATTTGCTGGTGTATTGAAATGTTCTCCTTAGTACAGTACTCTCTAAGACTAAAACAAACATCTCCAGTATCCTTGCTACTAATTATTATATAGTATATCCAGGGTGTCTGAAAAATCAGAAAACATAGGAGAAACTTATTTTTAAACAGCAATGTCAGTTGCATTTTCACATAATATGCTCAATATATTTTTCTACATTTTCCAAACATCTTCACAGGTGAAATATCTCTAAATTTAAAGCACTGGGCCCAATTGCTAATCTGAGAACACTACAATAAATTCACTTGAATATCTGGGGAAAAAATCTGGAAACACAGGGGAAATAATGTATTTATCAATCCACAAAAAATTTGGCTTATTTTGAGTCAGGCTCTGTTCTCAGCATATTTACATATGTTTACCTTGCTTAATCCAAACAAGCCTATAAACCAGAAAACCCATTGCCGCAATCAAGTCAATTCCAACTCATAGTGACCCTATAGGACAGAGCTGAGCTGCCCCACAGGATTTCCAAGGCTGAAATCTTTATGGAAGCTGACTGCTACATCTTCCTCCCACCGAGCGGCTGGTGGGTTTGAACCTTTGGCCTTTCGGTTAGCAGCTGAGTGCTTAACCACTTCACCACCACAAGCCGATAAAAAAGGTATGTTATTATCTCTGACTTGGAAATGGGAAAGATGAGATTAAGTAATTTACCCAAGGTACACAGTAAGTGGCAGAGTTGGCCTCTGAATCCAAGCTTTCTGGTTGCAGTACTTTGTACTCTTAACCACTGGTGCTATATTAGTTCTCTTAAGTCAGGGGAAGTTCAGTAATTACAAGCAAGAGCTTTAAATCCTGATAGTTTCCTCATCTGCAAAATGAGGATAATAGTACCCACTACATAAAAGTGGCATGAAGTCGTGTAAATTGCCTACAACAGTGCCTCGCACTTAGCAGACATCAAATTATTATTAAATTCTGCTAATCCAAATGATTTCATTGTAGACTAAAGGAATGATTATATCATAACTGGATTTAATTAACAATCTAGTTTCTCTCCTAAGCTGTAATTTGGAGAACTGTAATTTTAAAGTTTAGCAAGTGATTAACAGCTTTTGGGGACATATTGGAGAAGTTATATGTATTATCTGGTGGCGCAGGGGTTAAGAGCTATGGCTGCTAACCAAAAGGTCAGCAGTTTGAATCCACCAGGCGCTCCTTGGAAACCCTATGGGGCAGTTTTACTCTGTCCTACAGGGTCACTATCAGTCAGAATCGACTCAATAGCAGCGAGTTTGGTTTTGAGTTTAAACACAAGGAATCTCAGTTTGGCTTGTCAGAAGTCAATACAAACGTAGTATACCACAGTCAGACACAGCAGAGAATACCCTCTGCAATGCTACAGATCAGTGGTTTTCACACTGGAACATGAGTCAGAATCCCCTGCAGGGATCATGACACCAGACAATTTCTGATTCAGTAGGTCTCGGGTGGGACCCAAGAATCTGTCTTTCTAACAAGCACTCCAGGTGAAGCTGATGCTGCTGGTTAGTGCTCATACTTTGATACCCACTGATGCAGATTGCTCTGAAAGCTGATAAACAGAGATCCCAAAGTAGTTTAATGGTTAATTAAAACCAAATGTGCACAAATTTATGCTTTGTGGGCAATAAATATCTTGAGAATAAAGTTTCACAAGCTTGGCTGGGCACTGGAATCATCTGAGGTTTGAAAAAATACTGATGTTCATGTCCTGCCCCCAGAGATTCGAATTTAATTGGTCTGAGGTGAGGCCTGAGCACTGGGAATTTTAAAAGATCCCTTAGTGATTATAATGGTAGCCAAGGTTTAGAAGCACTGTTCAAAAGGCCTAAGGAAGAAAAGGCTCTTATCTGCTCATCCAATATTCTTAAGAGTTTTTTCTATCTGCTTTTGCATTTCATCAGCAAAAGTTACCGTTTATAGGATGAATACTTAAATACCAGCCCTACAGATTGCCAGTGAGCTAGTGGTGAGTGTTTTGCACTGGTTCTTAACCCCTGTTGCATATCAGAATCATTCTTGACCCTCGAGATAGTCAGTTTGGTATTTTCTAAAGCTCCCCAATTTGAGAATCATGGTCTTTGAGGTCTAAAGGAACATAAACAAACAAAAAAAAAACAGTCAACCACTTGCAGAACAATAAGGAAAATGCATGTCAAAGGATACATTCACACACCAAGTGGATAACGTGACATTTCAGTAATACAAGGAAAAGGGTAACACTAACATGGTTTCTACTGTAGACAGGGATAGTATTCATTAAATACTAAGACTCAAAAGTACAATACAATTGGAAGAATCTGCAATAATGCAAATGAATACAGACGATTTCACATTTAAAAAAAAAAAAATCAGTGGTACCAGAAGAAAAAGAGGCCCAAGTGAAAGTTGCACAGGACATCCTAGAACAACGATTACAAGTGGAAGGGAAGGAAAGGTGCTGTCTGAGAAAGTTCCCCACATAGTTCCAAAGAGCTACCCTACTCCACTGCCACCTGACTCTAGTAGACAATTTCTATTACAGAGCAAAAGGCAGAAATAATTCAAAAAGCAAGTTTACAGTAAAAACCAACATCTGAGAGTCAAGCAGGTGCCTTGAAGAAAAACCTACCCTTGAATGAACCTGCTTAGATTCAGGATTAAGAAAACTGATTATAACTTTTTTACTTCAATTCTGTTTCAAACACTAAATATACCAATAAATCAGTTTTACTGCATTAGTAATGCTGTGCATTACTATTATTGCTGACATTTTAACATTTAACAACAACATAAGAACTACATAAATATACACAGCCACTCTCACCTACTTAAGCAAACACATACAAACACTCCTATGTCTATTTTTTAAAGCTATGTAGTCCACTTCATGGAATAAGTGACAGACAGCTGTGACTTCCCCCCAAAATAGAAGCCAAAAAAGGATGTTAAATTTTTCTGAAGGCTAATCACACAGAGGCATTTTATTACAAGTTTTATGCCAAGCAACTCAGTTCTTCAGAAAAAAATAAAAATGAAACAGATCAACATTTAAGATACACTACATAGACAAAAAACAAAACTCTGAAAAAAGGTGATAAAGGCAAAAATGTATTACTCAAGTAAAAACAAAAAACAAACACTTAACATACCTAAGAAATTATTAGAATATAAAACTTTCATTTCCCTACAGTCAAAATTTTATTCAAAGGGAGCTGTATATAGGTAAGTTTGATGAAACCTATTTGAAAAGGTCAGCAATTTTAAAAAATGCTTTATTTCTTTGTTCCATTAGTACTAATTAATAGGATCTTTGCAGGTTTTATCTGAAAGAAGGACATAAAAACTTGAAAGCAGGAGAAGGGAAAGGGAAGCACAAGCTCAAGAATAAACTCTGGAGGACAAACTGTAACATTTGACTTCACTTATGACACATGGGTAGAAAGGGCAAACCATCCTTCTTCATTTTGTTTCTCAATCTGTTGAAAAAAGAGGCAGAAAAAATTTAGAAAGTGACCAGACTTAGCTTATAATAACATGAGACCACACAAGATTCATAGATCAGATGAAGTACATACAACCAAAGTGTCCTATGCCATCGAATTGTATTAAAAATTAAACTGCTACTGTAAAATTTTTATTATCTAATAGAGATGCTCCCAAATAACTGCTTCCCTGGTGAAGACAACCACTTAATGATTTAAGAGTCCTGATTTAAAAAAAAACAAAAAAACCCACCACTCATCTGTCAGTCTGTCATACTGCGGTGGCTTACTTGTTGCTGGGATGCTGGAAACTATACCACTGGTGTTTCAAATACCAGCAGGGTCACCCATGGTGAACAGGTTTCAGCAGACCTTCCAGACTAAGACAGACTAGGAAGAAGGAACTGGCACTCTACTTCTGAAAAAACTGGCCAGTGAAGGCCTTATAAATAGCAGCAGAACACTGTCTGATATGGTGCCAGAAGGTTGGAAATATGTATCTAGGAAAACTGGAAGTTGTCAAAAATGAAATGGAATGCAAAAAGATCAATATCCTAGCTATCAGTGAACTGAAACAGGCTGGTAGTGGCCATTCTGAATCAGACAATCATATGGTCTACTATGCCAGGAATGACAAATTGAAGAGGAATGGAGTTGCATTCATCATCAAAAAGAAAATTTCAAGATCTATCCTGAAGTATAATGCTGTCAGTGATAGGATAATATCCATACAGATCAGTTAATATAACTATTATTCAAATTTATGCACCAACCACTAAGGCCAAAGATGAAGAAATCGAAGATTTTTATCAACTTTTGCAGTCTAAATTGATCAAACATGCAATCAAGATGCACTGATAATTACTGGTGATTACAATGCAAAAGTTGGAAACAAAGAAGAAGGATAAGTAGTTGGAAAATACAGCCTTAGTGACAGAAATGACGCTGGAGATCGTATGACAGAATTTTGCAAGACCAACAACTCCTTCCTTGCAAATACCTTTTTTCAGCTACATAAATGGTGACTATACACGTGGACCTCATCAGAATGAATACACAGGAATCAAATTGACTATGTCCGTGGAAAGAGAGGATGGAGAAGCTCAATACTGATCAGTCAGAACAATGCCAGGGCTGACTCTGGAACAGATCACCAGTTGCTCATATGCAAGTTCAAGTTGAAGACGAAGAAAATTAGAACAAGTCCACGAGAGCCAAAGTATGATCTTGAGTATATCCCACCTGAATTTAGAGACCATCTCAAGAACAGATTTGATGTATTGAACACTAATGACCAAAGACCAGATGGGTTGTGGAAGGACATCATACATGAAGAAAGCATGAGATCATTAAAAACACAGGAAAGAAAGAAAAGATCAAAATGGATGTCAGAAGAGACTCTGAAACTCACTCTTCAACATACACTAGCTAAAGTGAGTGCAAGAAATGGTGAAGCAAAAGAGCTGAACAGATTTCAAAGGGCAGCTGGAGAAGACAAAGTATTATAATGAAATGTGCAAAGACCTGGAGTTAGAAAACCAACAAGAAAGAACACGCTCGGCATTTCTCAAGGTGAAAGGACTAAAGGAAAATTTCAAGCCTCAAGTTGAATATTGAAGGATACTACAGGGAAAACACTGAACGATGCAGGAAGCATCAAAAAAAGATGAAAGGAATATACAGAGTTACTGTACCAAAAAGAACTGGTCGATGTTCACCATTTCAGAGGGTAGTATATGATCAAGAATCGATGGTATTGAAGGAAGAAGTCCAAGCTGCACTGAAGGCATTGGCGAAAAACAAGCCTCCAGGAATTATCGGAATACCAACTGAGATGTTTCAACAAATGGATGCAAAGCTGAAAGCGCTCACTTGTCTATGCTAAGAAATTTGGAAGACAGTTACCTGGCCAACCAACTGGAAGAGATGCTTATCTGTGCCCATTCCAAAGAAAGGTGATCCAACAGAAGGCATAAATTATCCAACAATAGCGTTAATATCACACGCAAGTAAAATTTTGCTGAAGATCATTCAAAAGCGGTTGCAGCAGTACATTGACAAGGAACTGCCAGAAATTCAAGCTGGATTCACAAGAGGACGTGGAACAACAGATATCACTGCTGATATCAGATGGATCTTGGTTGAAAGCAGAGAATACCAGAAAGATGTTTACCTGTGTTTTAATGCCTATGCAAAGGCATTGCTTGAGTGGATCATAACAAATTATGGATAACACTGAAAAGAACAGGGATTCCAGGACACTTAATTGTGCTCCTGAGGAATCTGTACATAGACCAAGAGGCAATCATTCAAACAGAACAAGGGAATACTGTGTGGTTTAAAGTCAGGAAAGGTGTGCATCAAGGCTGTATATTTTCACTGTACTTATTCAATCTATATGCTGAGCAAATAACCCAAGAAGCTGGACTATATGAAGCAGAACACAGCATAAGGATTGGAGGAAGACGCATTAACAACCTGTGATATGCAGGTGATACAACTTTGCTTGCTGAAAGCTAAGAGGACTTGAAGCACTTACAGATGAAGATCAAAGACTACAGACTTCAGGATGGACTGCACCTCAACATATAGACAAACAAAAATCCTCACAACTAGACCAATAAGCAACATCATGATAAATGGAGAAAATACTGAAGTTGTCAAGGATTTCATTTTACTTGGGTCCACAGTCAACTCCCATGGAAGCAGCAGTCAAAATATCAAATGATGTGTTGCACTGGGCAAATGTGCTGCAAAAGACCTCTCTAAAGTGTTAAAAAGCAAAAATGTCACTTTGAGGACTAACGTGCACCTGATCCAAGCCATGGTATTTTTAATTGCCTCATATGCATGCAAAAGCTGGACAATGAATAATGAAGGCCAAAAAAGAATTGATGCCTTTGAATTGTGGTGTTGGCGAAGAATATTGAATATAACATGGACTGCCAGAAGAAGGAACAAATCTGTCTTGGAAGAAGTACAACCAGAATGCTCCTTAGAAGCAAAGACGGCGAGACTTTCATCTCACTTACTTTGGGCATGTTATCAGGAGGGATCAGTCCCTGAAGAAGGACATCATGCTTGGTAAAGTAGAGGGTCAGTGAAAAAGAGGAAGACCCTCAACGAGATGGACTGACACAGTGGCTTCAACAATGGGCTCAATCATAACAATGATTGTGAGGATAATGCAGGATGGGGCAATGTTTCATTCTGTCATACACCGGGTCACTATGAGTCAGACTTGACTAGACAGCACCTAACAAAAATAACAACAATTAAAAAAAAAAAAAAAAGAAGGAACCCAGTACAACTTTTAAAATGACAGAAAATGATTTGACCCTAGTAAATTAAATTTGGTGCTAAATTCCAGGAATCAAGGGTAAATTACATAAAACAGTTCACTTTAAAGGTTTTTGGAATATATGAAATAGCAAAGGACAAATCTTCTGTCCTGGGCAACTGGGATATGTAAGCCTATTATTTTGGGCTGAAATACTCAATGCTTATTGAAGCACCCGGTATTTGGTCTAATTACTACAGTTACTGAAAAGAACAACAAAGACCTCCCTCCCCCCCATATCAAGTCTGAAAATGTAATTTTTATGACTTTAAAGATATCCTCACAGTTTACAATGACCAGTTAAAGAAACTATATTTTACTGTATCACAAACACAGAAAAATGACTTCTGCAAAAACTTTGGATACACTGTCAGATGCTTAGCGTCTATACATTCCTATAGCAAACCAAAACAAACGAAGAATACCTAAGAGATTTATTTACCCTTTGTGCCATAACCTCCCTCACCAATGGCACACTCAGACAAGGCATACTGCGGTAAAGTTACAAAGTGACTGGCCCCAGGACAGGGCTGTGCCAGGCCCCACCCAGTCACACCGAGGACAGCTACAACCATTCAAGGCACACCTGTGTGTCCTGCCACATTGTTTAGGAGGCACTGCCTGAAACCAGAAATTTCTAGCCTTTAGGGAGTGCTGAAATCCTATTGGATTTTATCTTACTCCTTCCTTACCCTAGAAAATAAAAGAGGCGTTATGTCTTGGTATTTTTTTTTTCTAAAGAAGGTGAATTAGCATTTCTTCTGAGAATTGTATTGTCTTTAGTTAAGTGACGGGAAACGGGAAAGCACTAACTCAGCCACCTCCCATTCCCTCCCCCCTCCCACACACATTGCACGATTACATTCTATCATGTACCTTTGCTCTTGGATTAAGAGATACAAATCGTCCACTTCCTGGGGTGGTATCTAATGGAGAACAGGTATTACTAGCAGCCCCTGAAGATCTATTTATGAGAAATAAAAGAGAACAAGAGAGCAAGCTATCATTATTAATCTTTAAAAAATTTTGTAACCCAGAAAGCTCGCTATGTATGTTATTATTCATGATTTCCTTTTCAGTACCCAACCTATGCTTTTCTACTGAATTAAGGCTCGATCCTCACTTCTTCTTTTTCCCCCAAAATTCTCCTCTCCAATTACTTTCTTTTATCTACATGAGTGAGTCTGTCTGAACCTAAGTCAGATATTATATACTGCCTTTTTGCAAAAAGATGATAAAACACACACCATATTCTTGATTTTTTTTTAAGTAACTATTTACACTGTAACCCTACCTCCTTGTATTCATCCCACTAGTAGGAGAGAGAGTGCTACATTTTGAGCTTTCTGGGACTTCTGCTCCTGGAACAGATACCTCAATCGTCCTCTTTCCTCCTTCTGAAATATAGAAATAAATATTAGGTCCTTACCCTTCATTAAAAGAAATAAAAACTCAGCTTGATTTCTATCTTTTTGTAAACTACACATTATAAATTTGGGGTTCTTTCTATATTTTCATCATTACAGCCCAGATACACTTGAAGAATTTCCTTTTAAATGAACTGAGACAATAAACTTTAGTTATTAGTGTCAGTTCAGTAGTATACCAGTTCATAAAGAGCTAGAATCTTCAGACAAGTATCATGTCAGATTGGGAAGTGAAAAATGGAAATTAAGAGCTAGCCCTGAAGAACTTCAGATGTTTGTCAAAAACAGCCTATCTACAGTTTTCCAAAAATTAAAAGAGAAAAAAATGCTGAAGTAACTCAGAAAAACTTAGAATCTTTTTAAAATCGATTACATTATTACTCTTACCGAACACATTAGAACATTCCAGTAAGAAGTGGAAGTTGGTTGAAAAGGTGAAATGGCAATGATACACATAATTATGTCTATTGTCAACATTTCAGAAGTAGGTAATGGATCAACAAATACTTACTAAATACCTCCTAATGAAAGACTCTGCCCATTCCAGGCAGCTTCAAGAGGCCCTGTGAATCACTGCTTTACGCCAGGAATTTCCCAGCTTTAAGGGGTGATGAAACCAACTAAATCAGAGGACAGAAATGAAAGCATCTTTTAACGTTGAAGATCTATGGAAACAGAAGATGACACTTTTTATCAGAAAGTTCTTCTTTTTCCTTTTTATTAGTATTCTATTGTGTTTTAAATTAGAGTTTACATAGCAAATTAGGTTCCCCTTCAACAATTTTTATACAAACTGTCTGTACCACTGGTTACAATTTTTACGTAATGTGTCAGCACTCTCAATATTTCCATTCTGTTTGTTCTGTTTCCATTAATGACATATGAACATAGGTGTGCATATGTCTATTTGTATCACTGTTCTTATATCTCTAGGACGTATACCAGGAGTGGGATTGCTGGATCATAAGGTATTTCTATTTCTAGCTTTTTAAGGAAGTGCCATACTGTTTTCCACAGTGGTTGTACCATTTTACAATCCCATCAGCAAGGTATAAGAGTTCCAATCACCCACAACCTCACCAGCATTTGTTGTTTTCTGATCATTGCTATTTTTGCAGGGGTGAGATGGTATCATATTGTAGTTTTGATTTGCATCTCTCTAATGGCTAATTATCAAGAGCATCTTTTCATGTATTTGTTGGCGGCCTGAATGTCCTCTTTGGTGAAGTGTCTGTTCATGTCCTTTGCCCATTTTTAGATTGCATTGTTTGTCTTTTTGTTGTTGAGGTGCTGAAGTTTTCTATATATTTCAGAGATAAAACCCTTATCAGATATGTCATTGCCAAATATTTTTTCCCATCCATAGGTTCTCTTTTTACTTTCTTGGCAAAGTCTTTTGATGAGCATAACTATTTAATTTGTAGGAGGTCCCAGTTATCTAATTTATCTTCTGTTGTTCATGCATTTTTAGTTTTGTTTGATAGGCTATTTATGCTGAAAATTAGGTCCCCTAGTTTTGACCCTATGTTATCTTCCAGGAACTTTATAGTCTTAGCTTTAACATTTAGGTCTTTGATCCATTTTCAGTTAGTTTTTGTGCATAGTGTGAGGTATGGATCCTGATTCATTTTTCTGCATAGGAATATCCAGTTTTACCAGCATCATTTGTTAAAGAGACTGTTTCTTTCCCATGGACGCTGGCCCTTGTTGAAGATCAGCTGCCTATAGATGGATGGATTTACTTCTGGGTTCTCAATTTTATTCCATTAGTCTATGTATCCATCACTGAACAGTGCCAGGCTCTTTTGATTACCCTGGCTGTATAATAAGTTTTGAGATCGAGAAGTGTGAGGCCTCCTACTTTGTTCTTCTCCAATATTGCTTTAGCTCTACAGAGCCTCCTTCCTTTCTACAAGGAGCCTTGGTGGTACAGTGGTTAAGAGCTCAGCTGCTAACCAAAGGTTGGCAGTTCAAATCCACCGGCCGCTTCTTGGAAACTCTATGGAACAGTTCTACGATGAGTCAGAATCAATGCAGCAGCAACAGGTTTGGTGTTTTGGTCCTCTCCATACAAAGCTGGAGATTAGCTTTTCAATTTCATTAAAGAATGTTGTTGGGATATGGATCAGGATTGCACTGTATCCATAGATTGCTTTTGGTAGTATTGACATTTTCACAATGTTAAGTCTTCCAATCCATGAGCATGGAATGTTTTTTCATTTATGTAGATCTCTTTCAGTTTCTTGCAGTAATGTTTTATAGTTTTCCTTGTATAGCTCTTTTACATCCCTGGTTAGGTTTATTCCTAGGTATTTTATCTTTTTGGGGACTATTGTAAATGTTATTGTTTTCTTGATTTCCTTTTCAGAGTCCTCCTTGTTAGTGTGGAGGAACCCAACTGATTTTGGTGTGTAGATCTTGTACCTTGCCACTTTGTTGTATCCTTCTATTAGTTCTAGTACCTTTCTTGTGGAGTCTCTGGAATTTTCTATGTATAGGATCGTGTCACTAGCAAATAAGGGCAGTTTTACTTCTTCCTTTCCAATTAGAATACTCTTTATTTCCCTTCCTTGCCTTATTACTCTAGATAGGGCTTCCAGTACAATACTGAATAAGAGTGGTGATATAAAGGGCATCCTTGTATCGTTCCCATTCTCAAGGACAATGCTCTCAATCTTTCTCTGTTGAAAATAATGTTGGCTGTTGGTTTTGCCTATATGCCCTTAATTATGTTGAGGAATTTTCCTTCTATTCCTATTTTGCTGAGAGTTTTTATCAGGAAAGGGTGTTGGATTTTATCAAATGCCTTTTCTGTGTTGACTGAGATAATCATGTGATTCTATTCCTTTGTTTTATTTATATGGTGAATTACGTTGCTTGGTTTTCTGTGGTTGAACCATCCTTGTATCCCTAGTATGAGTCTCACTTGATCATGACGTATTATTTTTTCGATATGCTATTGAATTCTGTTGGCTAGAATTTTGTTGAGAATTTTTGCATCTATATTCATGAGGCATATTGGTCTGGAATTTTCTTTTTTAGTGGTGTCTTTCCTGGCTTTGGTATCAAGGTTATGCTGGCTTCATAGAATGAATTAAGGAGTATTCCTTCCTTTCCTATGTTCTAGAATAGTTTCAGTAGAATTGGTGTCAACTTTTCTTTGAATATTTGGTAGCATTTTCCAGTGAAGTCATCTTTTTTTATGACCTCTTCAATTTCTTCTTTTGTTATGGATCTATTCAAATTTTCTTTCTCTACTTGTGTTAGTTTAGGTAGGTAGTGTACTTCTAGAAATTTGTCCATTTCTTCTAGATTTTCAAAGTTGTTGGAGTACAATTTTTCATAATATTCTGTTATGATCCTCTTTATCTCTGTTGGTTCTGCTGTAATGTCACCCATCTCATTTCTTATTTTTGTTATTTGCATCTTCTCATTTTTTTCCTTTGTCAATTTGGCCATTGGTTTGTGAATTTTATTGATCCTCTCAAAGAACCAACTTCTAGTCTTGCTGATTCTATCTTTTCTTTTTCTGTTTTCTATTTCATTTGTTTCTGCTCTGATCTTTATTACTTCCTTTCTTCTGGTGATGGTGGACTTCTTTCACTGCTAGTTTTTCATTTGTTCAACTTGTAGGGTTAAGCTATTGATTTTGGCCCTTTCTTCTTTTTTTGATGTGTGCATTTATTGCTATAAATTCTCCTCTGAGAACTGCTTTTGCTCTGTTCCAAAAGTTTTGGTTTATGTTGTGTTTTCATTCTCATTTGATTCTAAGAATTATTTAATTTCATTTTTAATTTCTCCTATTACCCAAAAGTTGTAAAGTAAGGTGCTATTCAGTTTCCATGTATTTAATTTTTTTCCTTGTTTCTGTTATTGATTTCTAGTTTTATAACATGACGGAGAAGATGCTTTGTATTATTCTGATGTTTTTGAATTTATTGAGGACTGCTGTGGCCTAAAATATGGTCTATTCTGGAGAATGACCATGTGTGTTGGAGAAGAATGTGTACTGTGTTGGTGTTAGGTGGTGTGTTCTGTATATGTCTATGAGGTCGAGTTGGTTGACTGTGTTATTTAGATCATCTGTATCTTTGCTGATTTTCTTTCAAGTTGTTCTGTTCATCACCGAAAGCAGTGAGTTAAAGTCTCCTACAATTATTGTAGAACTGTCTATTTCTCTTTTCAATTCTGTTAGAGTTTGTTTTATGTATTTTGGAGCTCTGTCATTGGCTGCATAAATATTTATTGTGGTTACGTCCTCTTGCTGGACTGACTCTTTAATCGTTATATAATGCCCTTCTTTGTCTCTTATAATGGATTTTGACTTAAAGTCTATTTTATCAGAGATTATTACTGCCACTCCTGCTCTCTTTTGGTTACTGTTTCCTTGATATTTTTTTCCATCCTTTGATTTTTTAACCTATTTATGTCTTTGTGTATAAGGTGTGTCTCTTGTAGGCAAAATATTGATGGGTCATGTTTTTTTCTCCATTCTGCCACTCTCTGTCTCTTGTTTGGTGCATTTAAACCACTTATATTCAGTGTGATTATCAATAGGTATGCATTTACTGCTGCCATTTTATTATGCTTGTTTTTGTGGTGTTAATGGTTTCTTTGTTCTGCTTAATTTTCAGTGCTGAGTTCTTTTTGTTTATGGATTTTGTTTTCATATCCTTTGTTGTTGTTGATTTTGTGTTTACTGAGTCGTTTTGGTTTTCTTCTTTGTTTTGGTAAGTTGTTGTTGTTGTCAGGTGCCATCAAATCAGTTCCGACTCATAGCGACCCTGTGTACCACAGAAATGAAACACTGCCAGGTCCTGCGCCACGCTCATGATCATAGTTATCCTTATGCCCACTGTTGTAGCCACTGTATCAACCCATCTCGTTTAGGGTCTTCCTCTTTTTCGCTGACCCTCTACTTTACCAAGCATGATGTCCTTCTCCAGGGACTGATCCCTCCTGATAACATG